TATTAGAATAATGGACCACCTGAGTCTTATGGATCCTTTATTCTGGGAATCTTGCAGCCAGAGCGCATGACCTTTTATTAAGGAAGACGTGTGACAATACAATTGGGTTAAACGTCAAATTAAACTTCTATCCGAAGGTCAACCTGAGAGGTCACGCAGGCCAATCGTTTTGCGCCTTCCTTGCGCCCGGTGTTTACGTTAGCCTTACTGGCGATGCCAACGACTACGTAGCGAAGGGTCTCTCTGGTGGGAAAGTGACCATTGTCCCGGCGTCGAGACTACTCACTAAGAATTTCCATTCCGAGGACCATATCATCGTTGGCAATGCCTGTCTCTATGGTGCCATCGATGGTCGCGTCTTCATTCGCGGTCAGGCTGCAGAGCGTTTCTGTGTGCGTAATTCCGGCGCCATTGTTGTGGCCGAAGGTTTGTGGTCACTAGATCCTCCTTATTTTTTTAAATTTTCGTAATTTGGTTCCTTCATAGACCGAATACTACGGAAAATCTATTCACGAATCGTTTGTTTGACATTCGGTTATTAATGAAAGCCTAACATTCTTACTATTTAGTCGCTCAAGTCGATGACTTTAACACTGTTAGAGGGTTAAAGAATGCGTCTGCTCCATTGATAGTAGTTAATGCCTTCCTTGTATGTTATAATCGAAATAATGAAGCAAAATGCTCTGACTTATGACATGCTCCTAAGGAACAGCGTGTTGGTGAGTAAAGTTTGGCTTTTACTGGACGTGAATTTTAAAGGTAGCCAAAACTTAAATAAACTTCAAAAATTTTAAAATCGTAAGTCTTTTAAGTCTCTCTTGTTGTGGTGGCCACAAACGTGAACATTCGGTACTCATATCAAAGGCGTGGTCATTGAGGTCTTGTTGAGGCAAAAACTTGCGTGAGTTTTCGGGAGTCCTCTAAATGTAGAGATCTTTTATGTAATCGCCTTTGTTTCGCAAGAGCAAGAGTTCTGGATCCACAAAAACCTTTTTTGTTACTAAGTAATGAGTTTTTGCTATATTTTTATCCAGTAATTTTTATTATAAGCTAAGTTTTTTTTAGGGTGTGGTGATCACGGCTGTGAATACATGACAGGTGGCCGTGTGGTTCTCTTGGGTCGCTCTGGTCGCAACTTTGCTGCGGGCATGTCTGGTGGTCTTGCTTTCGTCTACGATGCTGACCGCGTTTTTAAAGCACGCTGCAACCTCCAAACTGTAACCCTCTTTGACATGACTCTCGAAAATGAGTATGCCTCTTGGCTCTGCACAATCATTAGAACTTTCTTCGACGAGACGGGTTCCCTGGTAGGTGTTTCTTTAGCCAAAACAGAAACGATTTGGACTTCATTAAGTCCTTTTCTACGTTTGCTGCTCAAAGGTTGCACGACACATTCTCAAGTACTTTGACACGGAAGTGAGCAACTTTGTTCTCGTCTTCCCCAATGACTATTACTCGGCGCTAAAGACAATGACAGCTGAAAATGGCATCGTATTAATGGATGCTGCTACTCCCGTAAACGGAGACGCTGTTTCTGCTATTGATGATAACGACGGAGCTGTCGTGCCTGCTGCAGCTGCGAAGTCCATTGCTGTAAATTTTGGTTCTGACCATTCAGATGCTTGCCTTGCAATCACAACTGCAAAACTATATGGATTGAGATATGTGGTTTTTGTGTTCTATCACAACCAACTACTTCTATCTTTAATTCTCCAGCACCGTTGGCATTTTTGATGGGACCAGAATGCATACAATGCTAGCTAATTTGGTGCCAAAATGAACATGGAAAATTTGTTTAATTTCAATCAAGCATGGCCAAGCATGCAGTGCTGCGTGCTAAAAAGTAGCTTGAGACTAAAATGGTACTCTTTGCGGTTAAGTACAAGTTCAGACATGTACTTATTTGTTGACATGGGTTATTTCTGAAAGTAAGTTAATGATAGATTTGTCTGAGATCTTGGTTTTGCAAGTTTTAAAATTGGTGAGGTATTCCTTGATGACTCGGAGTTCATTTTAGTTGGCTCGTTTAATAGTAAAGTTCCACTATCTCCTCTAGAATGGCCTTAAAACCATCGATATCGAAGATGTACTAAAGGAATCGGTGGCGGTTGAAAAGGGGGCAGAAGTGGAGATCCCAGACAAATTGCGCGGATTTGTAAAGTACCCGCGCACAAAGATAAAGTATCGGTCTATAGAGGAGCGCTTGCACGACTGGTCTGAAGTTTACGCGCACGGAACTCTGCGCCACGGTCTCAAGGTACAGGCAGCGCGGTGTATGGACTGCGGTGTTCCTTTTTGTCAGTCTAGCTTTGGCTGTCCCCTTGGCAATCTCATTCCAAATTGGAATGACCTCGTTCACAAGGTTAGTCGAAACTCCTCTCTTCCGTCCATTATGCTAAATTGCTATCATATTCACTCCTTCCTCCACTGATTTGTTTAATTGATAGCTCTCTCACGCCTCATATGCAGGCCGAGCAACTTTTCTCAAATAGCTTTTCCGGTTGTTTATTATCTATGCTTGAGCAAATGTTGTCGGAATATTGGTATGGTAAATTGTCAGTTTACTATTATAGCAGTTGTTTACTTGTTTATCTATTCATCTGTCCCCTCATTCATCTGCATAATTTTTTCGCATCCATTACCGTTGTTACTCAACCTGCTACTAATTATCTCGGTTTCCAAGCCGTTTGTCTTTGTTTGTGCATTTATTATGCACCTATCGGTGAGCAATAGGAACACAATGGTTCGATTTTACCCTAAAAAATGTATTCGGTTTCGAGTTTTAGTAAAGATTTCAAAAAGATGTGCATTAGGGAAAGCAAGCTTTAACTAATCTATGAGCCATGATAAGTGACTTGAATCTATATGAATGTTATGGAACAATTCTAATTCAGCAGCCAAATATCATGCACCTGATAAACCGAAAATGGAACATTATTTATTTATCCGTTTTGACCAAAGTAAAAAATGTATTGATATAGGTAAACGAAATCTGAAGTGCCCCAAGAGAAATACGTTTGAGTTAAAAACTTACTTTTGACATAAATAGCAGGGTCAACGCACTCTACTTATTCGCAGTCATAGATGCGTAGTTCAGTAGAATATAACTTGAACTAAAAACTAAGGAAAGCATTGTAATGCATTTTCCCCTCGTTGCACTGCAAGTATCAAGCAAGATTAGCGGAAACTCATACTTTGATTAATTTTACTGTGATTAATAATTTAGCAGACTGAGGAGTGTCACGAACAATTCAATATTTCTACACTGTATAGCGCATGAGGTGAAGCCAAGAAAGATACTGTTGCAATGTCAGAAAGTAAGTTCAGTGAAGTTAACTGGGGTTCGATTATAAACATGCACTATGAATGTTTATGATAAAGTTAGTTTGCTACCCGAAGTCTGCAATGAAATTAGTGAATACCAGTGATATACCTCCCAAAATCACTCGGGTGAAGCCGTAGGTGGATGCGAACGCACCTCGCCCCAAGTGTTCGAAGAATAATGAAGGGAACT